TTTTTTTTTTGTCTTTTTGAGACAGGGTCTCACTATGCAGTTGAGGCTGGCCTTGAGCTCACTTTGTAGCCCAGGCTGGTTTCAAACTTGTAATAATCTTCCTGCCTCAGCCTCCCAAGTGCTGGGATTACAGGCGTGTGCCACTATACTGGGTTAGCATGCCATTTTTTTGGTGGGGGGCGCGTTTCCGGTACTGGGAATCGAACTCACAACCTTGCACTTGCCAGGCAGGCACTGTGCCACTGAGCTAAGTCCCCAGCCTAAGCATGCCATTTTTAAGCACAGTTGAAAAATGTGGAAATTTAAGAGCTGGGGGACTGTAGGAAACGAATTCCATACTTGAAGCTGACTTTAGTGTGGTCCAAATACAGAATAAAAGCCAAGGGCTAGGGATTTAGCTCAGCCACACAGCACCTGCTTGGCAAGCATGAGGTCATGAGTTCAATTCCAGGTACCAAAACAAACAAAAAAAGCCAGACCTGGTGCTGCACACCTGTAGTCCTGGCACTTGGGAGGCTGAGTACAGGGCCAGCATGGACTACATAGCAAGACTCTCTCTCCAAAAAACAAAAGCAAAAACAAACAAAAAACCCTCAAGGCAAATACAGAATAAAGAGGAGGGAGAACTTTTTCATTATTTGGTGGCTTTAGACAGTGGGCTAATGGACAATGTCCCATAGAATAAGGGTTTGTCTCCCTGCCTGCCTCCCTCCCTTTTTTTTTTTTTTTTTTTTTTTTTTGAGACAAGGTCTCACTACATAGTTCTGGCTGGCCTTGAACTTACTATATAAGCCCAGGCTGGCCTTGAATGCACAGCGATCCTCCTGCCTCAGCCTCCTAAGTGCTAGGATTACAGGCATGTGCCACCACACCTGGCCGCCTTCCCTTCCCTTTCTTTTCCTTTTTTCCCCTTCCCTCCCCTTCCCTTCTCTTCTCTCCCCTTCCCTCCCCTCCCTCTTTCCTTCCCTCCCTTCCTCCGTTCCTTTCTCTCTCTCTCTCTCTCTCTCTCTCTCTCTCTCTCTTGGTTTCAGAGACAAGGTCTCACTATACAGTTCAGGTTGGCCTTGAACTCACTATGTAGCCCAGGCTGGCCTTGAAATTGCAGCAGTCATCCTGCCTCAGCCTCCAGAGTGGTGGGATCATAGGTGTGCACCACCACACTTGGCTGCGAGGTGTTTCTTTCTTAATGATGCAACTACAACAAAACCAAAGCAGAGGGCTGGGGATATAGCTCAGTGGCACAAGCGCCTACCTAGCAAGTGCAGGGTCCTGAGTTCGATTCCCAATACAAAAACAAACAAACAAACAAACAAAGCAGAAGGTGTCTGTGGCAAAGCCCCAGGCCCCTGGGAAGTCTGACCTGAGCCTCTGAGAAGGGGGCAACAGAGATGCTGTTTTCCACCAGGATGGTCGCAATCTCCCCCTCCAGGTCGCCGATTCTTCCTAACACACGGACAAAGTGTCCGTTTGGGTACAGGGACGTTGACTCCCAGGAATCAATGCGCACGATCACCCTGAAGTCCTGCATGGAGGGAAATAAAAGCGAGCCAGGAGTAGGCCTCAGTGGTTCTGTTACAGGCACCAAACAAACAAGACAGAGAGCACTGGGTTCCAGAGAGGGGCGATCTGCAGCCAAGGTGTGCCCTGGCTTATTTGATTCTTTGTTTTTCATTCTCATTCTACAGAACTGCCAGATGGCGTGCAGATACTTAGGTTGCTATTTTGAAGGGAGGCATTATCTCTATATCAAGTTAGTGGACTGGAAATTTCAGTCTATGAAACCCAGTTGTAACAGTTTAGTTAACATTTGCAACAGTGGAAAAACCCAATTATACATGGTCCAAATGAAGCTTTTTCGGTTTTCTTTTCTTTTTTTTTTTGAGATAGGGTCTAGCTATACAGTTCAGGCCGGCCTTGAATTCACTGTGGAGCCCAGGCTGGCCTCAAACTTGTGATGAGCCTCCTGCCTCAGCCTCCCAAGTGCTGGGATTACAGGCATGCACCACCACATCTGGCAGGTCTAATTTTCTTGAAGCCTTAGGATGGTTTTTTGTTTTTTTTCCAGTACCGGGAATCGAACTCATGACCTTGCACTTGCCAGGCAGGTGCTGTGCCACTGAGGTAAATCCCCAGCCCCTTAAGATGCTCTTTAGTGGGAAAGAAGGTGTTGGTGTAAGCTGGATTCCCTACTGCCTAACAATTTGGCTAAACCGTAGAAATGGAAATAGTAATAGTGGCTGCAACTGGTGGCCTCAGAGGGTCTGCAAAAGCCTCCAGATGCAAAGGTCCAATGACCAGGTAGGTCAGTGGGTGGGGACATTCAGCTTAGTATCTCATTTGCAAACTACAAAGCTGGACCATGTCTGCATGCTCAGCCACCAGGAAAGGTTAATTCCTAACTTTCTGGTTATGACTTCTCTCCGGCGCTGTACGTCTTTATGGAGAAGCAATTCTGCGAAGTACCACTACATCATCCCCACAGGCCGGAGCGATCGTATTTCTATGTCGCTGGCTGGAAGAAAGCTTGTTAATGTTGGCAAAGTGTAGCTATTCCAAGTTTCTGGGTTGGACAGCAGGATAATGTATGTTTGCTCTGCTTGTCCTACAGAGTTCTTTCTAGGACGATTTCACCGCAGCCTTCATTTATTAACCATGGACTACTTAATAGATAGTTCTTATATATTTAGAATTTTTTAAAAACAGGATCTTGAAGTGCTAGAATCCATCAATAATTGATTTCCTCTTAAGCAGAAGAACTCGCAGTGCTTCCTGGTGCTGAGCAGCGGCTGGCAGAGACAGAAGGAGAAGAGAGATTCAATGTCAGCTACCTGCAGGGCTTCGGCTTGCTGGGTGCTGATGCGAATTTTGGGGATTCGGTAATCCCACGGGGTAACGAGGATCTTCTGAGCATTTTTGCCCTGAGACTGGATCTCCTCTTTGGATGGGAAAGTCACCACGTAATCACGCCAGTTCTTCTGAAGGATGCCCACCACGCGGCCTTTGGGGAGACAGGAGAGAATAAGGCGTGACCGGGTCAGGTGTCCCTACCTGGCTGGGACTGGCTTAGTGGACGGGAGGTGGTGCAAAGAGCCAGTTTTTTCAGTCACAGGCGTGTGGGTCAAGAGGTGCCCGGAGACCTGCCTTCTTAGAGTGTTGAAGACTGCTACCTTTAGGATAGGTAATTTTTTTGGTACATGGCCAGATGGCCTTTCTTCTATGGGGCCTGATGGGACACCTTGAACCCGCCTGTCCCTCACGAACCTCAGGCTCCAGTCCACTGGGAAACGTCAAGGATTTTCACTTTTTTCTGGTGTTTTGACACAAGGTATCTGCTAGGCAGGAGGAAGCAGTAATTCCAGGAGCAACACGGCTGCCCCTGTCAGGTGTGGGGTGCGGCTCACCTGTGGGCATGGGGTCGCTGGGGGCCTCGCCCGAGGCCTTGTCCTCACTGTCGTTGTCACACAGGGCGCCGGTCCTTCCCTTCCACTCGCCCTTCGGGAGCAGCTCCACGACCACCACATCCCCGTGAATGGCGCGGTTCCGGGCCTTCACGCCGTGGATGAGGATGTCGCTAGCTAAGCCTGTGGCGGGCGGTACAGAGACCCGTGAGGGCCGCGGAGCCGCACTGTGCGCCAGGAGATTCAGACGCACCAGGGTCTAAGCGCCTCTCCCGCACGTAACAGCTCCTGCCTTGCAAAGGTCACATTTTCAAGGTCACACTTCTGCTGGTTATAGGTGGAGAAACTATCACCGGCTCACAGCATAGGGTGGGCTTTCACCCAGGCCACCCCATTACCTTTTGTGTTTCGTTTTGAGACAGGGTCTCGCTTTATAGCCCAGGCTGGCCTCGAAGTCACTAGGGAGCCCAGCCTGGCCCTGAACTCGTGACAATCCTCCTGCCTCAGCCTGCTGAGCGCTGGGATGACAGGCGTGCACCACCATGCCTGAGTGATAGCTTATTTATACATTGTTATCGCTTGGTTACTTCTTTGAAATGATTTGATAAGGTAATATAACTCAGGCGAGAAGACTCCTGCTTGTATCCCAGCTATTCAGGAGGCTGAGGCAAGAAGGTTAAAAGTTAGAGTCCAGTTGGGGCAATTTATAGACTCTAGCCCAGCGGTGGAATGCGTGCCTAGCACGTGCAAGGCCCTGGGTTCCATTCCCAGGGACAAGTGAAAGGCCGCACACACTGAGTCAGAACACAAGATGTCTGCGATCTCAGCCTAACCGGCGGGGCTGCTCCGGGCAAGCAACTGTGCTTCTCTGCATCTTAAAGTTTAGTGCAATAAAACCAGGAACTAGGGCGCATCAGCTCGGAAGGAAAACTTCCCGTGCCCCGCAGCAAGGGGAGTCACTGTGCTGACAATATGGACTGAGTGTTTGCTGGGAGGACTCCGAAGGCTCTCCACGCAAGGAGATGCCGTGTGAGCGGTGGGCGCAGCGATTCTCCCGAGCTGACCCTTGCACATTGTAGATGTGCGCTGAACTATCACGCCATGCCCTCTAAAGATGTTCATCTGTGTTAATGAAAACTTAAAAAATTTTTTAAGGGGCTGGGGATTTAGCTCAGCGGCAAAAAGTGCCTGCCTGGCAAGCGCAAGGTCGTGAGTTTGGTTCCCGGTACTGGAGAAAAACAAAAAAAAAAAAAAAAAATTTTTTTTAAAAGGTAATATAAGATATAATCAAAACTAGAGACGAAAGCAAGGGGGAAAAAATATAAAATCCCACAAGCCCAGTGCACACCGACGTGGGCCGAGTGACACGAGTGTCAGCTTTGTTCCTCGCTGCGGGGCAGCAGGCTGAAGAAGGAGCGTGGCCGTGCGCGCGCGTCATGCTGCACCTGAATCTTTACTGCTGGCTCCTTGAAGTCGAACGAAAGCTTCTATTTGGGCTCTGTGTTTGTTCACATTCAGAGTGCCCTGAAATCATAATAGAAAAATCTGTGAGAGAATTTCTTACCTGCCCGGTGTGCCTCCAAAAGGTGTAGTTTTTAAAATCTTATAAAAATATCCCCGTGATATTCTTTAAAAGTTTCTGATCTCTTTTGTTTTGTTTTGAGACACGGTCTGGCTATGTACTCCAGGCTGACCTCAAACTCACTGTGTAGCCCTGGCTGGCCTCAAACTCTCAGGAATCCTCCTGTGTCAGCCTCTTGAGTGCTGGTATACAATCTCTCTCTATGTTTTGTTCTTTTTTTTTTTTTGTCTTTTTGAGACAGGGTCTCGCTGGTGCAGTTCAGGCTGGCCTGGAGCTCACTTTGTAGCCCAGGCTGGCCTCGAACTCACAACGATCCTCCTGCCTCAGCCTCCTGAGTGCTGGGATTACAGGTGTGTGCCACCACGCCCGGCTACAATCCCTTTCTAGAAGAATAATATTAATTTGTCCTGAGAGGATACCATCATTTCCTTTTTTTTTTTTTCCTGTCTTTTTTTTGGTACCAGGAATCAAACTCAGGACCTTGCACTTGCCAGGCAGGCGCTTATGCCATTGAGCTGTATCCCCAGCCCGATACTATCATTTCGAACTACTCTTTAGCTACAACATTTAAAATACTCCCACGTTTGGCAGGGACTTCCGTGTGCTACCCTCAAGTTTTGGTCACAATAAAAACCTTCTGAGTTGCTGGTCAGGAATGTCGATTCCAGGTCTGGAGTGGAGCTCAGAGGTAAAGCATGTGCCTAGCGTGTGGGAGGCCTTGGGTTTGATCTTCAGCACCACAACCATGAAGGAGTGAACAGATGAAAAAGTAAACATAAAGAGAATAAATATGGGGCTGGGGATTTAGCTCAGCGGCAAAGCGCCTGCCTGGCAAGTGCAAGGTCGTGAGTTCGGTTCCCGGTACTAGAGAAAAACCAAAAAAAAAAAAAAAAAAAAAAAAAAAAAAAAAAAGTCGAAAAGAGAATAAATATGAGCTCTATGCCAGGACAGTTCTGTATCTGCGTGGTTCAGCCTGTGAACAGGAGCGGACATAAACTGCTGAAACGAGAATCATGATATGACCTTGGTTCTCCAGACCCTGGCGTCACCTGGGTTTGAGGGGATGATCAGGGGGCAGGAAAATGCCCACGGAGTGCAGGGGCTGAAATCACAGATATTATAATGTCGCCAAACCTCCACACCCTGACTCAAGACGATGCATTTCTTTCCTATCGACAGGCATCATTTCCAGGCAGCTCCTGGTGGACGCGGTGACGCACCCCTAAAACAATCTGGGAGGCCGAGGCAGGAGGATTGCTGTGAGTTCGAGGCCATCCTGGGCTACGGAGCAAGACTCTTGTCTCAAAGCAAAACAAAACCCCAAAAGCCAAGGCAGCTCCGGACCCCGCCCAAGCAGTTCTCCACGCCGCTGGAGTAAGACAGCAGCTCCACCCGGACAGGCAGGACCGTAAGCAGACCGGCGCCCAGATCCCTCCGCACCCACCCCATGTGCCGCGCGCTGCCCGGGGACGCAGAGGCCGGCAGCAGGAGGAGGCCGCAACGCGGCGCTGCCTCCTGGAGCCCTCACCTGCACGTAGCGCCCCGACTTGATGCCGGCCTCCAGCACCTCCAGCGGCAGGTGCTCCGCGTACTCCCGGCCGCGGCCCTCCTGGCTCTCGCTCTCCCGCTCCCGGCGGGACTGTAGGATGGACTCGCACAGCTCGTGGGCAGCCCTTAAATCCGGCCAGAAGTTGTCCAGGTAGTCCTGCATTTAGGAAAGGCACAGAGAAGTGCGGAAGGGAGGACTCTTCACGGTGGTACTGACAGAACTCCTCCCGGGGGGCGAGGCGGCGGCGTGCGTGCATGTGTGGGGCAGGTGAGCACTCCGTTCCTGGCCTCTGTTCTTTTTTTCTTTCCTTCTTTTTTGGCACTAGGGATTGGCACCCAGACCTTTCACACTGAGCTACATTCTCAGCTCCTTTTTTTTTTTAATTTCTTGAATGACCAGTGATGTTTTTTTTTTTTTTTTTTTAAGTATTTACTTTGAGATAGGGTCCTCCTAAATTGCTAAGTTGCCCAGGCTAAGCTTGAACTTGTGGTCCTCCTGACTCAGCCTCCCAGAGTGCCGGGATTACAGGTATGTGCCACTGTGCCTGGTTCTGAGCCTCATGCTACCAGTTCATTTTCTACCATCTTCTTAGTCCCTGAAGCCTGGCCAAGGGAACTCTGGAGAGGCCGCCCCACCATGGCCCACTTCTACCTCCCAGGCTCTCTGTACTTGCAAACCTTTCTCCAAATGCACCACACAGCCCACCCCCAAATCCAGGTAGTCTATCTTTCTATCGAGCTCATTGGTACATACAAGCCTACAGAGAACAGCCAGGAAAAGATTGTGAGTTGAGTATATTCTTACCTTTTTTTTTTTTTAGGCAGTCTCACTATATAGGTCACGGTGGCCTTGAGCTCACCAAGTGGCCCAGAGTGGCCTCAAACTTGTAGCAATCCTCTTGCCTCAGCTTCCCTCATGCAGAGATTACAGGTGTGCACCATCACACCTGGCTGTACTCTTATCTTTTAATATGTTTTCAAACTCAGTTTTAAATCTAAGATAGGCTAGGCATGGTGGTATGCACCTGTTATCCCAGCACTTGGGAGGCTGAGGCAGGAGGATTGTGAGTTCAAGGCCAGCCTGGGAAACAAAGTGAGTTCAAGTTCAGCCTGAACTACATTGTTAAACCTTGTCTAAATAAATAAATAAATAAATAAAAATTAAGTCTATAGTAGAGTCTAGCACATTGTCATTTCTCAAATTGCAAAAAATGCAAAAAACAAAAACCACCCTTACTGTCAACTCGAGCATTTCTCCAATTTCAGGGCCCTATTCAAATTGTCGTCCCCCCCCTCCCCCCATCTTCTTTCCAGAAGTTTTCTCTGTTTAAAATCAGCATCCCCAATTCCAGGTCACTTCTCACTCATCAACACCAAACTTTTGTCATCTTGAAGCACCAACCTGAGAACTATTTATCACCTTGGCTCTAGTCCATATAAATTCAAATCCCCAAAGATAATTCTGGGCTTCCCTCTCACCTGAATGTCACAATCTCTCTCTGTCTTTCTCTCTGCTAACGTTCAGCTGTCTGAGGCCCTCGGTCACACCGTTTGCTTGAGAAGTGCTCTACAAAATAAAACTGTCCTACACTGCTGGACTACAAAGAAAAGTAATTTCCACAAAAAGTAGAAAAATGTAATTTTAGTCAACCGTCCTCTGTAGGAACAAGACAAGATGTATTGGAGCCGAAAAAACAAGTGACACAGTCATTAATATCCAGTGCCCCTGGAATTCTCCGGCATGCCAAGCACTTTTTTATAGCAGGGCCCAGCAAATTCTATTGGCAAATCTTTAGCAGTATGTGCACACGGGCACCTCTGAGAATCTACAATTCAGAATGCGGCCAGGCAGGCTGTAAACTGACGGGTGAGAGCGGGCTGTGTGCTAGTACATGCAATCAAAAGATGAAAACAGGGCTGGGGATTTAGCTCAGCGGCACAGAGCCTGCCTGGCAAGCACAAGGTCGTGAGTTCGATTCCCGGTACCAGAAAAAAAAACAACAAAAAAAGATGAAACCAGGGCCGGGATATCGCTCAGAGGCACGGTGCCTGACTGGCAAGTGCAAGGTCCTGAGTCTGATTTTTGGTACAAACAAAACAAAACAGAAAGCGAAAGACGAAATCAGCCAGCAGAACCTGATGGGCCCACTGGGCAGACAGGAGAACCCAGCATCTACTGAGAGGTTAGCAGTTGCCTTGTTCTCTGCAAAGGTTCTTAAGAGATATCAACAGCTGTGTTGCCATGACAGCAGGAAGAGGCTGACAGCCATGAGCCTCTTCCAGCTGCGATCTGCCCTTTGCTGATGGAAGAGCCTTTGGTGAGGGAGAGTGGGCGACAGCTGGAAAACAGTGGCCTTGGTGCTGTATGTGTGTGGTCAGAAAAGCCATTTGCGAGCAGCTCACCCTGGGGGTGAAGAGCCCTGGTGTTCCACTGCTTGGGGACTGGTCCCGGTGCTGCCGTTTCCTAGTGTGTGATCTCGGACAAGTGGCCTGGCCTTTTTGTGCTTTAGTTCCTTACCAATAAGGTGAGATAAGACTAACCTCATAGAGTTGGTGCTAGAATTAAGTGAAATAATACTTATGTCTCTTACTACACTCCCAGAATGCACTATGCTTGGCATAGATACATGTTGATTATTACTAATAACCAGGGGGCCGGGCGTGGTGGCGCACGCCTGTAATCCCAGCACTCGGGAGGCTGAGGCAAGAGGATCGTTGCGAGTTCGAGACCAGCCTGGGCTACACAGTGAGCTCAAGGCCAGCCTGAGCTGCATAGCGAGATCCTGTCTCAAAAAAGACAAAAATGAAACAAAGCAAAACAAAAAAACCCAAAACCAAAAAGTACTAATAACCGGGGCCATGTAAAACTGCTATTTTGTGGATCAAAAATGGAAATTAAACCCAGAAACTTTAAGCTACATTCCTAGCCCATTTTTAAATTTTTGCAACAGGGTTTGCTAAGTTGCTACATTGCCTGGGCTTGGCTCAAATTTGTGATCCTTCTGCCTCAGCCTCCCACAGTGCTGGGGTACAGGTGTGCACCACCATCCCCAGCTGAGACTGCAGTCTTGTTTCACCAGCATCATCATTTCCGGATCTGCAGTAACTATAAACATTAGCTTGGGCGCCAGGGTGTAGCTCAGAGGTAGGTAGGGTGTACTGAGCATGCATAAGAGCCTGCGTTTAATTTCTGCACTAAAAAAATAATAATCAAAACAAAAATGGCTTTATTGTCAGCAGGGCTCGTTGGGCTGGTGGTGGATACATTATGCCTTCCAGTCCCAGGAACTGGCCGAAGTCGAGTTGATCAGCTGGGGAGCGACACAGATCACATCTTCATGCCCTCCCTTATTTTCTCTTTCTGTGCTGGGACCCACGGGTTGCGCGCTCCTCGGGACATGAACGCGCATGCGCCTGCTCACGCACACTGCCGATTACGCCCAACGACCCGAAATACCTTGAAAGAAATCACAAACACTCCCTGGGTTTCGCTCCCATACTGCTGAATGGCCTCTGCATCTTCGGTTACCATCACGATGGGCATCCTGTCCCCGCAGTGGTGATAGTACCAGACGGCCGCATTGTAGATGCTCCTGCGGGACAGGGCAAAGCGTGAGCTCCCCCAAGCAGGCAGACTGATGCAAAGTGGCTTTAAACTCCTGGCGATCTTCCTGCCTCAGCCTCCCATACTCAGCTCTCACTCTGCTGTCCTTGAGATCAAAGGGATAGCCACTCATTCATTCACTCAATGAACACCTCCTGAAGCTCCGCGATATGTAAGCCCCACTCTGGGGCTCCGGGGGATACAGAGTGAATCAGAAGGCACCCGCCAGCCCGGAGACATCCAACCCCCATAGCAACTGCGTTCATTCTGCACAACTCCTCAAGGCCTTGAAAACACGAGGCTCAGTCCTCTGTTCACATCCTTCAGCTGGAGGCTGGGCCACGGAGCATCGTATGGAATGACGAGCACCTCCAGTGAGGAGCCCTTCCCCCACCCCCGCCACACGCATGCGCGCGCACGCACAAGGCATGATTTCTAGATCCCTTCGAGGATCCTGCTAGCCATGAGGTTCTAGGGGAACTCACTCGGGGTACCTACGACTCCTTCACTAGTTTTAAAAGCATGTAACAATCTAAAATACGGGCTCAGTACGCATTTTGGTACCGATCACAGTCCCAGCGTGACCGCGGGTAGGCTCCAGCCCCGGAGGGCCGGTGCGGAGCACAGGGGACCCCACCGCACCTGGTCTGCCATTTCTCCACGGCCTCGCCCCTCTCCCGGGGGAGGTAGCAGCACTCCTGGAACTCGTTAGCGAAGAGGATGCAGTCGTGGCGCGCGTCCTTCAGCAGGCTCCGCAGTTTGTTATACTGTCTGCAACGCAGAGGGGGTACATCAATCTGCACGGCAGGCGTTCATCTGCTGCCGGCTCCGCTAAGGGTCCCGGAGAGGAGGGGCTTGAGAGCAAACGATGGATTGTTTAAAACCCGGGGCATTTATTCCTCTGGGCCTCTGCGTGCTCAGCGCCGCTGGGCCACTCCCACAGCTCGGTTTTGCCTCCTAGGAGGAGCTTGCCTAGGGCCTGGTTAGTTTGCAGATTAATTAAACCACTTGTCCTCCCTGGCCCCTCGGAGATTTAGGGCTGATTTCCTATGGAATCGTACTGTCCTATCCCTCGTCAAAGCCTTCGTGCACACAGGCAGGCAGAGTCTCACACTTTATTTTCGCCTTTTGGAGACAGTCTTGCCATGCAGTCCAGGCTGCCCTTGAACTCACAATGTAACCCAGGCTAGCCTCGAGCTTGAGGGAATCCTCCTGCCTCAGCCTTCCAAGTAGTGGGATTACAGGCCTGTGCCACTATACCCGGCTGGCACTTTAGTTTTGAACCTCACTTTGTTCTAGAAATGGAATTAGCATTCCACAGGTTTACTGTTTGCTGGCAGACCTAGCAAAGGACATGTAAGGTAAATAGGTTTAGGGCTTTATCTGTGAGTTTTATTTTTGCAATTGGCCTGATTTACATAAAAGAGAGGTAACAGTTTACTGGCAGAAAGCTAAGAGGAAGTTGGAAGGATTCTCCCATCAAAAGATGCTTTAAAAAAAAAAGATGCTTTCAACAATGTCAAAATCAAAAATTAAACCCAGTGGGGTGAAGTGGGGCACACCTGTAATCCCAGCTACTTGAGAGGCTGATGACTTGGAGGTCAGCCTGTGCTGCATAGAAAGATCCTGTCAAATAAATAAATAAATACATAAATAAATAAAATAAATATAAAATCAGCCCTAGTCAGGAGTGGTACATGCCTATTAATTCAAACTGTGTGGCATTCCAACTATCTAGGAGGCTGAGGCAGGAGCATCTCAAGTTCAAAGCCAGCCTGGGCAATTTAGTGAGACCAAACCAAACATAGAACTCTGTAACTGACTCTGTCCAAATAAATACCAATATCTTTCATGTCCTCAGCACTGGTGATTTGGTGCTAGAGTAAACCAGCCATTAAGGTGGCCATCTGTCTTATACTTTGTTAGAAAATGAGAAATACTGTTTGGTTTTCTTAGTACAGTAAGGCTAACTTTGAGCTACCTTAAAGAGAATCTGGCTGGGGCTGTATCCCAGTGATAGGGTGCTACCTTGAATGAATAAACCCTGGATCTCATTCCCAGCATGGCAAAAAATATAAATAAACAGTTCAGCCGGGCACGGTGGCACACTCCAGGAATCCCAGCACTTGGGGATCATTGTGAGTTCAAGACCGGCCTGGGCTACAAAGTGAGCTTAAGGTGTGCCTGAACTGCATAGCTAGACCCTGTCTCAAAAAAGACAAAAAACAAACACAAAAACAGAAAACAGTCCAAAAACACCAAGCCAAAGCAAAACAAAATGATCAAGCAATTGCAAGGTATAATATATCATAATGAACAAAGGGGTTCAGTTCCACGTCTATGAATGGCAGCTTTTCTTTTTTGTTTTTTTTTTTTTTGTTTTTTTTTGTTTTTCTCCGGTACCAGGAACCGAACTCATGACCTTGCGCTTGCCAGGCAGGCGCTTTTGCCGCTGAGCTAAATCCCCAGCCCCAATGGCAGCTTTTCATAACAGAACTCCACTTACACAAATAAAAGCCACCCTCACACTGACTGATAAAACATATTAAGCTGATATTTCCCATTTGTTTATTTATTTTTATTTGAGACAGAGTCTTACCATGTAGTCCAGGTTGGCTTTGAACTACTTTTGCAGCTCAGGCTGGCCTGGAACTCAAGGTGATCCTCTTGCCTCAGCCTCCCGAGTGCTGGGGTTACAGGTATGCGCCACCACACCTGGCTATAAAATCTAGGAATTCTCAAATTCAGTCCTCACCAAATAATGGTAAGCTACAGACATGCCTAGGAACTGCCATCAAATCAAATTATGACAATTTTTGCTAAAAGAAAAATAAGCCGGGCATGGTGGCGCACCCCTGTCATCCCAGCACTCGGGAGGCTGAGGCAGGAGGATTGCTGTGAGTTCGAGACCAGCCTGGGCTGCAAAGTGAGCTCAAGGCCAGCCTGAACTGCATAGCGAGATCCTGTCTCAAAAAGCAAAAGAAAAAAAAAAGTCTAATTTGAAAAGCGTTTTCTAAATCTTAAGTTTCACTCCTGTATATTCTTCTTAGATTTCTCAGGCACCCTTCCGGGTGTCAGCCCTCCATCAGGTGGATCAAATGAAGAGCAAGAGAATGCTAATGGGGAAAGCAGGAAACCAACAGTGATCACTCTGAGCGTGACAGCAGGCTGTGGCTATAATTTAACAGTGCACACGTGCCACACAGTCGCATTTTCCGCGAGTCAGGGTGTGCGGCGCTGTGACAGAGCGAGACAGATGAGTTTCCTGGGTGGGGGTAGCGCTGACTGTCATGGCGCTTTCAACAAGTTTGAGTAAAATGAGAGAACAGTGATGGCTTGGTCAGGCGCAATGAGATCGTAAGGGTTACAGAGTCCAGTCTCACGGAAAAACCCTACAGTCCTTGGACAGGCTTGGATGTTTTCTAAACCTGCATGACCTAAAGATTTCAAGTTTCTTGGAGACAGCTAAACTGACTTCTTTAGATTGGCTTTTCTTTTTTGAAGATGAACTTAATTGCTGGGCTCGAGCGATCCTCCTGTCTTAGCCTCCCAAAGGGTAGGACTATAGGGTTAGAAGTGAAACCCGCAGCTCATGGGAAGATGCAGAGATACTGCTGGCACACGCCTGTAATCCCAGCACTCGGGAGGCTGAGGCAGGAGGATCTTTGTAAATTCAAGACCAGCCTGGGCTACAAAGTGAGTTCAAAGTCAGCCTGACCTGCATAGTGAGACCCTGTCTCAAAAAAAAAAAAAAAAGTAGATGCGACTTCTGCACTCAGTGTGTTTCTTCAGATAGGTCTGGGGGTACCCTAGGACTTCCTTTCCCAGGTCCTCAGGTTTCACACTGGCTATGTTTCTGTGTCTCCTCAGATTAGCTGCTATTCCCAAGGCATTTGTCTGGGGTCCACTGTAGACCATCACCTTGCTACAGTTTGAATCTTCAATGTCCCCAAAGGTTCACGTGTTAATGGCTTGGCAGCACTATTTGGGAGTGGCAGGCCCTTTAAGAGGCAGGGCCTATGGGCAGGTCTTTAGGTCATTGGGGCGTGGCCTTAAAGGGGACACTGGCCATAGGCTCCTCCTCTTCCTCTCCCTGCTTGCTGGCTATGGAGCAAGCATCCTTCCCCACCACATACTCTGCCGAGATGTGCTGCCTGCCACAGGCCCCGAAGCACTGGGCACTTAGTGGTGAACAGGCCCCTTCCGACACTGGAAGCCAAGAGACATTTGCTTTCTGTTTGCAACTTACTCACCTGCAGTAGCTGTCACAGGGGCAGGAACCTGACCGACACACACTGTGTTGCTGCCCAGCAGCAGCTTCGCCCTCTCTGAACCCCTCCAGAGATACCAGCTCCTGGCCTTGACCCTTCCCCTTGCACTCCCGAGGGTTCCCTTTCCGTCCTGGGATGTGAGCCAGGGCCCTCTGTGTTACCCTCGACGCCACTTCTTCCATCCTACATGTCCAAATCCATCACTGTGTTCCATAGAAGCAGGGTTTTTTGTTTTTTTTTTTGAGACAGGGTCTCACTATGTAGCCCAGGCTGGCTTCAAACTCATGGTAATTCCCCCGGCTCAGCTTCCCAAGTGCTGGGATCATGTATTTCAACTTAATCTCCATTGCGAGATATTAAGAGGGCAGGAATTAGCCAGACACAGCCAGAGAGTGGCACATGCCTGTAGTCCCAGCACTCTGGGAGGCTGGGACAGGAGGATCACAAGTTCAAGCCTAGGGCCAGGGATGTAGCTCAGTGGCCCAGAGCCTGCCTGGCAAGCACGAGGCCCTGAGTTCGATTCCCAGTACCAAAACAAACAAACAAAAAAAAATAGTAAAAAAAAAACACACCAAAAAACAAAAAAACAAAAAAGTTCAAACCTAGTCTGGACAATTTAGCAAGATCCTGTCTCAAAATTTAAAAAAATAAAAAAAAGTAAAAAGGGCTGGGGATGTGGCTCAGTGTGAAAGTTCTGGGTTCTCTCCTCAGTTCCAGAGGTAAAAACAAGAATGGAAACACCACCTAACCTGACTACCATGTTTAGAAGTGGGGGCCAACCAAACGGTCAGAATCTGATGAGCTCATCAGGATGGTTATCCCATGACTGAATTACACACACATACACTCCCTGTCCCTTACTATGTGGTGCCCTGTGGCCCCACGACTGTCACCAAGGCAACCATCATCAGATGCAGCATCCTGATCTTAGACCTCTAGAACATGGGCTAGGATAAACTTCTTTTTCTATATTGTAGTCTGCCCCAGGCATTTTGTTATAGTAGCACAAAGCAGACTAATACAATCTGTCACCTGGATGACAGCTACCTCTCTTCTTTTCCCTGGGCTTCTTTTCCCCCTGGCCCAATAATCTTTTTAAGACAAGAATCAGGTCATGTTATCTGCCCCTGCATAATCCCATCCCTGAAATCCCCAAGGTCTGTGAGGCCTTCTGTCTGAACTTGGTGGGGCTTGCAGGTGCCTGGTCCCTGTGCTTCAGTGCAACTGTCACAGCTGCAGATGGTATCTGCTTGTGACACTACCCAATTCCTGCCAGTGCCCCCCAGGACTAGGCTTGCTGTTGCTCACTGCTTTATCCTTAGTGCTAGCAGTTTCTGTAACTTACATGCTCTGGTAAACACTGGTAGAATAAACAAATGCAGTCAGGCATGGTGATGCAGACCTGTAGCCTCCGCACTCTGGTAGACTGAGACAGGAGGATCACAAGGTTGAGCGACTAAGCAAGACCCTGCCTCAAAATAATTTTAAAAAGTGCTGGGG